TGCTCTTAACCTCTGAGCTATCTCTCCAGCCCCCTATCATTTTCTTTAATTGGCCATTAATAAGAAATCATCTATTTGACCAACTTTCTTCTCAAAGGTAACTAAGGAAATTGTCTGTCAGTTTCTGAAGTTTCTACTTCAGACCCTATACTCAGACATAAATGTCTTCTACACATTTACACCTCTCTACTTAAGGCTTCAATCCAAGTGTGTGTGTGTGGATTTAAGCCAAGATTATTTCTTTCTAGATTCCTTATTACTTAGACTAGTACCCTTACTTGTTTTACTTTTCATGTGACTTAAATAAATGTAGAGTGATATAATGGGGTCTGTCTAGCCCCAGTCCCACAGCCTCGGGGCTGTGGGGATGTGGTGCCAGGGAGTGCTGGTCAGCCTCTGCCTCTGGCAGTGAGGTCCACTGCCTCTGCCCATTCATGTCAGTGTCAGCTCAGCTGCTGTGGGAAGAGCAGCTTACTGCATAGTCACCATCAGTTCACTATGGTGCAAAGTCTGGTTTGACTGTGGGCTACAAAAGAATGAAAAATGTCCTGTTCAATAAATAATGACTGTTTTCTGTCTCTTTTTCCTTTTGGGAAAACAAAGCTTCTTGCCAATTACATACGCACTTGGCACACTTTGCCACACTGTGCCACCCTCAACTCTGTCCTGCGCTGGCTAGAGCCGAGGTGGCTCATCCATGCTAAGCAGTACGTGCCTAGCCCAGGACTGGGCAGGATTAACAGGAGCGAAAAGGGCTGATTTTGGAGAGCATCGCCTCTTTTTTTTTTTTCCTTCTTTGCTTATATACTTTTCATGTAGACTAAAACTTAGCATGCTTCTCTTGAGTATCCTGTTACGGGATGCAAAACAGACTACAGGACTGGTACTGAGCAGATTCTGCAGATCCGGAGGCCTTGGGAGCCCAAGGTCTGTGCACCCGGTCTCGGCCCTTTAAATGTTTAAAGATTGCTTTACCTGTGGATCGCTCACTGTTCAGTTCTGTGCAGTTCTTTCATGGTTGCCTGGTAGGACAGCCCGTGCCTCCCCTGCCTCTCAAGATCACTGAGCCCCGAGTGAGCCTGTCAGTCTGCAGTTGTTATTTATAGACTTAGCCTTTTTCCATGGTGTTTGTTTCAAAACCTGAAAAACGGCTTAGTCTATGTTGGATTAACTTTCAGTTGCCTAACTCCCTTACATAAACCTACACCCTGGTCCTCCAACGCTTTTTCTCAACAGTACATCACCGAATTGGCAAATGCTCTGTCCTACTGTCATTCAAAGAGAGTCATCCACAGAGACATTAAGCCGGAGAACCTGCTTCTTGGGCCAAACGGAGAGTTGAAGATTGCAGACTTTGGATGGTCTGTACACGCTCCATCTTCCAGGTATGGGATTTTGGATTATTACGGCCCTGGAGAGGTGTGTCTGCCTGCATTCCTGTGTGCGTGCTTGTGTGCTACACTGTAAAGTAACTGTTAGTCTAAGAGGACCTGGCTGACCTAGGAATTCTTTGGAGCGGTTTAGACCTGATAAAGTTCTTCCTGTGATCCCCGGGCACACTAGGCCTTAGCTTATGGATGTTGAACGTCCCTAGAGGCTAGTGGAAGAGGGTGAATTTAGAGATTTGGCTGCTGTATGGGTTGATAAACACAGGTGCCCGCTGGAGGAACTTGGACCCTATGCGGATGGGGAGCAGAGCCAAGCACCATTTGTTTCTAACTTTGAAACCACAGTGGTGTGAGTGCAGCTCTGGGGATGCTGGACTCCTGCTGCTTTCGTCAACAGCAGAAATAGAACTTTCCCTTTCCCTTTACAGCTGAAACAGATATCACCTAATGCAACAATTGAAAGTAGGCAAACTTTCAAACTTCAAAAATTGACTTTGCGTTTGAATGTCTCTGTGCATCTGTTGTCAAGATGTTGCTAGCTTTGGGGACTACTTTTTATTTTATTTTATTTTATTTTTTAACTTTTTTTGAGACAGGTTTTTTTTTTTTTTTGGTGTGTATGTGTGTGTGTGTGTAGCCCTGGTTGTCCTGGAACTTGCTCTGTACACCAGGCTGGCCTCGAATTCACAAAGACCTGCCTGCCTCGGTCTCCCGAGTACAGGGATTAAAGGTGTATGCCACCATTGCCTGGCTTGGGGACTACTTTTAAAATATTACCAGTGTTTTTAAAAAGCCTGTTTGAGCCCAGAGGAGAAAGCTGGGCAAGTAAGCACTTAAAAAGCCTGTTTGAGGCCAGAGGAGAAAGCTGGGCAAGTAAACGTGCTTACAGCTGAGTCTGATGATCAGAATTCGAGACCTGGAACCCGTTTGGTGGAAGGAGAGACTGACTTCAGATTATCTTCCAACCTTGCCCCGTGGTGTGCTCTTTCTCACGAGGGCATACGTGTACAAACACACAAATAAATGTAGTTTTAGAAAATTTAAAGCCTTTTCTTTTTCTTTTTTTTTTTTTAAAGTAGTGAAGTCTAAGGTCACCTATTTGTCTCCAGGAGCACTGTGGCAGGCTGTTTAACTGACATCAGTGGTAGCGTCAGTCACCTAGACTTGTAGGTGTTGTCATGATTAAGCAGGACTGTAACCTGTGCAGTCACCACTGGACGCTGGTCATGTCAGGATATGACGTCAGGATAGAGGCACAACTTGCAAAATTCAGAAGAGATCACAGGTGTGAATTCTGACAGCTACTCCAGCAGCCTCAAGTTCAGGCCCCACCACAGCTGCCCAGTTATGGGGACCATCCTTTGAGAATCCCACAGAGTGCGTGTGTAGGCACCAGACACAGCTGAGTATGTCCTTGTACCATCTCAGCAATGGTAGCCTCCGTTGTCTGCTCCTGGTTTATTCCAGCTTTGGTTTTCAGAGCCCACATGAACAGAAAATGCCGAGTTGGTGATGGCAGCACAGTGGTCCACAGCTCCATTGTAGAGCCCCGGACACTGGTATTGTTGCTTTGTGGACATTTAAAGTCAGGCGTATGCTCACATTGTGTATCCTCAGTGTGCCTCCCCTGCGATAGAGGTGCTCCTCACAGGCAGCGCCACTGTCCCTTCCAAGGCTAGTGGAATTCTTAATAGCTAATATTTAGCCCACACTCAGCTATTTCTCCAGCTGCCCATGAAATCTTAAAGCTGTTTTAAAATCAGAACTCAAAGTAAAAGCAGCATAAACACACACACACACACACACACACACACACACACACACACACCCTGTGGAAGGTGAGGGAAAGAAATCTAACCAAGCCCTGTGTGCTGGTGCATACTTGAATCCCAGCATTTGAGAGGCTGAGCCAGGAAGATATCAAGTTCAAGGCCAGTCTGGTAAGACTGTCTTAAAAACAGAAGAACTCAGCCAGGTATAGTGGCAAATACCTGTAATCCCAGCAGCAGCGGCAGGAGGAGGAGGCCATGGCGATAGCTGCTTGGAGGCTAGTCTGGGCTCCATAGCAAGACAGTTGGGCTGGAGAGATGGCTCAGCTGTTGAATGCTCTGGCAGCTTTTGCAGAGTACCTGGGTTTGGTTCCCAACACACTCACGGTAGCTCACAACTGTCTGTGATTCCAATTCCAGATCGGACACTCTTTTTCCGGTCTCCTTGGATACAAAGCATTCATTTGCACAGACAGACAGACAGACAGGCAAAATACCCATACATAAAAAATGAAAGTAAAATCTTTAAAACCCCTAAACCAAAAATAGTAAAAGTACTAAAGAACCCAGAGAGGTTCAATGAAGTATGTGGCTGTTTGTTACATCTTGTAGACTCTTACATTTCTAAGACTTTTCTTTTCTATCCTCTACTTCACTGAAAAAAAAAAAATCACATTGTAGCCCAGGTTGGCTTTGAATCTCTGTCAGCGCTTTTGCCTCAGTCTACCAGATGTTGTAATTACCGGTGTGAGTCAGTACTTCAAGCCTAAAATGGTGGTGTCCTTTTACTGCAAGCTCATGTGGAATGCCAAATTGTATTTATGGAAGAACCCTGTATAGCAACTTTGTCATTGTTTTCTGAGATGGTGTCTTGCTTCAAAGTCCAGACTGGTCTCCAAAATTCATTTTAACTTTCCCATCTCAGCCTCGGTGTTACTGAGATGAGAAGTACATTGTTTTCCCTAGATTTTCTTAAGTTCTGGAGTTGGACGGTCGGGGGGAAGCGTGGTGGCTAGAGTGTGACCTTCCAAACCTCCCTTCATCCATATCCTACCTAGAAGTGGGGAATTAGGTGGGCATCAGCCTGGGGAGTGTTCACACCGAATTACCATGTTTGTCAGAGTGTATCAACCACAGCCTCTGTCGCTTTCAGGAGAACCACGCTGTGTGGCACCCTGGACTACCTGCCCCCGGAGATGATTGAAGGCCGAATGCACGATGAGAAGGTGGACCTCTGGAGCCTGGGCGTCCTCTGCTATGAGTTCCTGGTTGGGATGCCTCCTTTCGAGGCACACACTCACCAGGAGACCTACAGGAGGATCTCACGGGTAAGGTGCTTCTCCTGGCTTCCTGCCGAGGGCTGGTGGTTATTCTCGTACCCCTCTGACCCATGTTTGTCCATTTTGTCATTGATTCTGCAGGTTGAGTTCACATTCCCTGACTTTGTGACGGAGGGAGCCAGGGACCTCATCTCAAGACTGTTAAAACACAACGCAAGCCAGAGGCTAACACTAGCAGAAGTCCTTGAGCACCCCTGGATCACGGCTAATTCCTCCAAATCTCCAAATGGCCAGAAAGGCAAAGAGCCAGCCAGCAAATCATCTTAGGGAATCCGGAGCCATGTGCACTGTGCAACTGTGAGAAACGCCCCACTGAGACCTCCCAGACCATCACCACTGCCCTCAGTGCACCTCGCGGAGAGGGTAGTCCGATGCCCTGCATCCAGGAAGCCCCACCTGAGCACATGCGGCGCTGCCCAAGCCCCAAGGACCGTGCTGCTGTTTCCTGAGTTGGTAGTCTGGAGAAAAGGTTCTACTGCAGTTGTCCCTGTGGCCTGTGCCCCCATCGTGTCCTCGCTGGGGTCTCACTGTACAAAAGTTACCGCCTTGCCAGACTCCCCAGCCATCACCTGTGTGGTAGCCTTCAAGTGCCTGAGTGTGTGTGTAATTTATTGGGTCACCAGGCCTGGGAAAGTTGTTGGAATGGATATGTACTTTTCTTTTAAATGTTAAAATAAAGATTTGTATAGACTTCCTTTTTCTTAGGTGGCATCCCTCCGGAGCCCAGGTTTTCAGCCTTCTTAGGTCCTTGTGGGGTTCGGACCGTCAACCACTATAATGTGCTCTACCTGTGTGGCCCTTGACTCAGGTGTTTCTGGATGTTTCTTATGTTGAAGTTCTGTCATGTGTACAAACTTGTTAAATATATAAATTCATGTCGTGGGACTTGTTTCTGGATGTGAACGGCTGTTTTCTTATGTTGGAATTCTGTCATGTGTGCAAACTTGTTAAATATATAAATATATGTATAGCATCTACCTGAAGTACATGGGTAATCATTTGGTCACCTGTTCAGTTTTGGCTAGAAGTGAGCAGATGTGGTGCTTTTCTGGTCCGCTGGATATTTTCTTGTAGAGTTTACAGATGCCAGTGCCATCTGTCTGTCAACCAGAGGGGGATGCTGGATTAGAGAAACTGGTTTTCACGACCAGCTCAGGACACTAGATGTCACATGACCGGAGATGCAAGTGGCCAGGGTAAAATATGTCAACTGGACCACCACCACCACACTTCAGAACTGAGTTGTACTGCAGAGGCCATCCTCTTGGAACATCCTTCTGGTCCCCAGTCCTGTGCTAAACTAACTGTTCATGTAGCAGCATTCCCAGTTACTGTCCACCTGAGCTGCAGTCAACTATGATTTGACTACAGGGAGCCAAGCAGAGTATGGGACACTGCCTCCTACAGCTCAGGCTACTAGCACATTACTGCCACTATTACATGCTGCTCTTCCTGAATGGCAGCAGTGATGGCTGACCAGAAGGTGACAGGCAACACATAATTTTACAGAGATTTTTATTTGTTTCACAGAATCTAACCTGCGTACTCAGTCTGTTTAAAAAAAAAAAAAAAAAAACAACTAGAGGCAAACAATGGCTTACATCTTAAAACAGTTTCCTTGATCTGGTTCCGCTAAAGAGAACTCGTAGGAGCAGATCTGCATGGCTTGCTGCTAGGTCTATCTATATGGTGCTTCAGTCTCTCGACTCATCCCCCATGTTCTGGCTGCTGGCCACAGGCGTGACAGCGGAGTGGGTTTGGAAGATACATGGCTGTGGGTACAATGAGTTTTATTGCTGCTTTCAATGTGATTCTTTGTATGGGCGTTACTTAGGAACCTGAATGGGGGAGTAGCAGGGTTGGGGATCCAGAGCTTGAAGCTAACATGGCTGTTTCGACACAGGCAAGATGGAGAGGCCCCATCCAGTCAACTGTCACTGGCCCAGGGCATCTTGCTCAGCTACGTGGATGTCCTTGGAATTAGTTTCTGTAATACATCCTGATTTAAAATCAGTAAAGGCTTTTGGCAGTAGGTTTTGTTATGAGGAAAATAAGAATGTAATCGCACTTTAAAGATCTCACGAACAGAGAATTTGTCTCAAAAAAAAAAAAAAACCCTCTTAAATGTTAACAAATGACGTGGGTAACTGTGGGCTAAGAAACTGTCAGCCAGATCTCTGTAAACGGTTCTTTCTTCTGTTTTCTGATTGTCAAAGTAATTTAAAAGGAATTGTGAGCAAGAAAAATGAACGCAATCCTTCCCACCATGCAGCTGAGCAGACTTCACAGTTCAAACACTCGCTCCCAGGGGAGAACTGTACAAACTGACATGGTATGTATGCTGAAGGGAAGGCTCTTACTGTGGATATGAGAGAACAGCTAGAGGCATCTGTTAAGCCTCCAGAGCAGAGGGAGAAGTAGGCTGAACATGGCCAGGGCTCTCTGTTGCAGAGGGGAGAACAGGATGGGACAGAAGAGAGAAAGCACAGTGAGAGTAGCAAGAGCCAAGAAGAATAGTAATAGCTGGGTTATAAAGATGGTAGCTGAGGGAAGGGAAGCCTGTGAGCCGGGGCCAGTTTCGGGTAGAGATGAGAAGAAGGGCTAGGAACACTCTGTAGTGTATATCAGGTACTTGTGATACCAGTATGCCCTTCAATAGGCTGCTAGGCGCCATGAGTATATGTTATCAGGACATATATTCCCTTCTGCCAGAGGTAAGGGAAATGACTCCTTTTGGTAGAGGGCAACCAGTTTCACAAGTCTCTGAGGAATTCTGGGACTAGAATTATAGTCCAGGTGAACCTATTTCTGGATACTTGGGCTGCACTGGGGAATGGAGTTTCCTTTGGATCTGATAGAACAAGTGCTCTCTGCCAGCCTGCCCAGAGGGGAGGCTAGAGTGATAGATAGAGCAGGCCAATTTCTGCCCTAACTGCCCCTGGCTTCCTGGAAGAGGAAGCCTGAGTCTGGGTCTCTGCTCGACTTTCTATTCTAACCTCCCTCTACCCTAGTGGCTCTCAACCTTCCTAATACTGTGACCTTTTAATACAGTTCTTCATGTTGTAGTGACACCAACCATAAAATTATTTTTATTTGCTACTGTTTTGAATCATAATGTACATTATTTTTGGAGATAGAGGTTTGTCAAAGGGGTCGCAACCCACAGGTTGAAACCACTGCCACTGAGACCACTATCACCCCTGGGCTGGTGGTCCTGGGTTTCTATAATAAAGCAGGATGAGCAAGCCATGGGAAGCAAGCCAGCAAGCCGAACCCCCTCTATAGCCTCAGGCATCAGCTCCTGCCTCCAGGTTCCTGCCCTCACTGCTTTTGATGAACTGTTATATGGAACTGTGAATGAAAGAAGCCCTTTCCTCCCCAAACTAATTTTGGTCATGGTGTTTCACCACAGAAATATCACCCTAATTAAGACATCTCTCTTTTCCCTAGCTTGTATTTTTTTTCTTGGTTTCTTTATAGTTAGAACAGGCATTATTTTCCTTTTTGTTTTTCAGAATGTGGCACAAATATTTTATGCATATGATTTAATTCAATTAACATTCATTGGCACATTGTGAACATGTCAGCTCTGGAATGCCTCAAGTTTCAGATAGCTAATGGCAGCCGGGCTCGGTGGCACTCACCTTTAATCCCAGCACTCGGATAGCTGAATGGATTGTCCAAGAAAGCTAGGATGCTTTTTAGCTTCTATGTGAGTGTTCTGAGTTCCCCTGAATAAGGGCATCAGGAGCCAAATGATGACATTACAATTGAGCAGCGATCCTATATTTTACAAACAATACTGCCCTGGATCTATGAGATTTCAGACTAACACCCCCATCACATCCAGACAAAGATGCTCTGGAGTCAATGAAGCACACGAGAAGTTCTTGCCTGCATTCCCCAAAGCAAGTCTTGTGAATGTCAAGGGCTTGATGTTAATGTAGATTGTGATTACGGACTGTTAATTTTTGCTTCATTAGTTGCAGCACTGGCAGCTGTCTGCAGAATATTGCATATTAAGCTGCGGGCTGCTGCCAGTGCAAATCCGGGGAGTGGGAGTTTTAAAAGCAAGCAAATTAATCATTGCTTTAAGAACCTGAGAAAAGACTAGCCTCGGGGGGCTTGCAAACAGGATTCCTGCCCCACTGATCTAGAAGGAACAATTTGGAGGCAGTCTTGTTTTGTTCTGGGATTGAATTTAGGCCTCCTGTGAGTCAGGTGAGGGCTCTACTGCTAATTTCCCCTCTTCGCTGTTGACCAAGACACAGTCTTACTAAATTGCTAACTAAATTGCTATGCTGACCCTAAACTAGCTCAAGCAGGCTAGAATGTGAGATCCTCCTGCCTCAGCCTCCTGAGTTTAATGGCCTGCAGCACCAGGCCTGGCTGTCAACTCACTTGGATGCCTTGGTGACATTTTAAGTCACGCACATGGTCCTGTGAGGAACAGCATAAAAAAAAAAAAAAAAAAAAAAAAGTAAACTAAACCATCTGATTTTTGCTGGTAAAAGTAAAAACCAACCCATAAGGAACATAGCATATAGCCTCTGCCCCTCCCCCCAGAAACCCACCCTGAAAACAACTAACTTCTAAAGTAGTTTAGAAACCACTGGCTTCAAGGCTTGGTGGCTGGAGGTTTAAAGAGTCCCACTCTGCGGAAGTATCTGACGATGAAGGGCACAGAGACCAAGGTGATGCTGATCCTCACGGGCGCAAACAGCTTGTGGATGGCATAGGCCACCACGAACGTGCTGGTGCCTGCGGCCATCTTGGATTGCACCAGCGACTCTTTAAAGCCAAGCTTAAGCAGGATTGCAGACATGTCTACACCACTGCGGGGAGGAGAAAGAGGCAAAGAAAACATTACAGCCAAGGATTAAAGGAAGAAATCCATTTGTCTAGCTTAACAGTAGTTTGGCTTTTTTATTTAAAAAATGTTATGATTATTGTGTATGTGAGTGTGGGCAAGGCACACGCTGTGGGTTGCATGCGGTGGAGCTCAGAGACCACTTTCAGGAGTTGGTTCTCTCCTTGCACTGCGGGTTCTGGGGATGGAGCTCAGGTGGCCAGGCTTGTGGGGTAAGCACTTTTCACCTGCTGAGCCATCTCACTGACCCAGACGAACCATGTTTTAAAAATGCATTATAGTACAAGGTTGAGTGTGTAGGTTTCACCAAACAAACCAATAACAGGAACAAATCCATTCACAGATTAGTTTACGGCAGGGAGAACAAAACGAAGAATGTTTTGAGACAGGGTCTCGTGTAACCTCGGCTGGCCTCAAAGTCTATGTAGCCAAGGATGGATGACCTGGAACGGTGGGGGCCCCTGCCTCCGCCTTCTGAATACTGGGATTACAGGTGAGGCTGATGCTGCTTGAGGAACGGAACCCAGGGCTTTGCGAATGACGGCTTCTACCAACTGGGCTGCACCCCAGCACATCTTCCTTCCTTCTGTTATTTGAGGACAGACCTCACGCTCAAGACCAGGGGTGTCCTGGAACTTTTTTGGTCTTGGCCTCCCAAGCACTCCCACATCCAGCTACAAACATAGTGAACGTTTGTCCAAAAGCCATACCTGGAAACAACTGTGTAAAATATCCCCAAGGACACCAGTGAGATCCCGATGTGCAGCGACACGCCCACAGCCCCGTATTCTTGGAAAACTTTCTTCAGCTGCTGCGATTTGCTTAGCTTTTTCTCTGTGCTGTTGCCACTGCTTCCTGGCTCAGTGATTCTGCTGGGCTCCTGTGCACAGACGAGGGGAGGTTAGGTTGCTGGACGCCACTGGCTTTTACCCTTATCCGGGCTGTGCACCCCTCCCACTAGGTCAGCAGGACTAGGTCAGCAGAACGATGGCCCTGGTGATATCCAGGGTATCTCCTACCGGAGAAGGACTTGGCAGCTGGGGTCTGGCGATGGACCTTGGGATGGGACTGTTAACTTGGGTTTTTCTGGGTGGGACCAATGAAAACGTAACAGGGTGGTGGCGGGTTGGGGGGGCAGGAGTTGGAGTCTGAGAGGAGAGGTGATAGGAGGTGCAGAGGTCTGATGATGCTGCACTGCTGCCTTACTGATATGAGGGTGTGGCCAGGGACCGGGCAGGAGGCCTTTAGAAGTTGCACAAAGGATTCTGCCCTGGAACCTCAGGAAGAAACTAGTCCTGCTGTCACCTTGACCTCAGCCCAGTGAGGCCGAGTTTGGTGGACTCCCAGGATCTAGCCCAGGAGCTAATGTGTCAAGCCCCAGAGGAGCAACACAGGCTTTTTTATCAAGGCCAGAGGTGTAGTGCTTGATTGGAATAACTTCAGGAGACAGATCTGGCTAGGTCTGTGGGTGTGCTTCCAAGGGGGTTAAGGCAAGCCCACCCTGAATGTAAGTGGCACCATTCCCGGGACAAGGCTCTGTGCTGAATAAGAAGAAAGGGGGCTGAGCACCAGCGTTGATCTCTCTCTGCCTTCTGACTGCAGATTCAATGCAGCCTGTGGCCTGAGTACACAGCTCCATTTCTACACTACCCTGAGAGGGGAGTAGGGAGTAGGGTTGGCATAGGATGGAGCTCCAAAAGCCACAGGCCTTCACTGAGACAGGAAACCTGATGGGGAAGGCCAATTCACCTGCGCGCGCCTGTGAGCACAGGCGTGCTTGTCACACTATGTACGTGGCGTTAAAGGGCAGCTTGGTGGAGTCGTGTCTCCTCACCCGCTGTCATGTCTGAGTATCAGTTACTTCTCTGTTGTGGTGATAAAACACCACAACCAAAGGCAACTTGTGAAAGAGTTCCTTTTGGCTCACAGTTCCAGAGGGACAAGAGTCCGTCACGGTGGGGAGGCCTGGCAGGAGGCAGCAGGTGGTGGGAGCAGGACCCTCACAGGTCGTATCAGGAACATAGAACAAACTGGAAGTGGGGCAGGGCCACAGACTCAGAGGCCGCCCCCACTGAAGGCTGCCCTGCCCCACACTGCGCCACCAACTGGGGGCCAAGTGTCAAAAGCCTGAGCCCATGGGGACATGCTTATTCAAACCACACAGTGGGTACCAGGAATTGAGCTCAGGGTTGCCAGGCATGCAAGACAAGAAGTGTTTTACCCACCAGGCCATCTCGAGGGTCACGTGAGGGCGATTGTACCATGCACTGGATGCTAAGAAATTTGGGACAGACAACAGAGACCTCAGCCACTCCTGGATTAGACAAAAAATGATGGTCACCTCTGGCTATTGATCCTGCAGCCGGGCAGATTCCTCCCTGATTACGAGCATGTTGCAGCTACGCGACTCTGCAAAGGCAGGGGAATGAGTACACCAGAAGCCCCAGGAGATGGGTCAGGGCTCCCCTAGTGAGAAGAAAGCAGCCCTGTGTTCTGAGCAGCAGTCCTCAAGCCCACCAACTGCGTCTGTTTGCCTGCATGTATGTGTCTGTGCACCAGGTACATGCCTAGCGTCCTCAGAGGCCAGAAGGCCTAAGATCCCCCTGGAACTGTAGATGGTTTGAGTTGTCCTATGGGTGCTGGGAATTGAACCCAGGTCCTCTGCAGGAGCAGCTAGTGCTCTTAATCACCGAGTCATCCCTCCAGCCTGCTCTCCTCTCTAAAACAAACACATGTCTGGTCCTAATGTTTGCTCCTCCAGCCCAGCAGAAGCTGCTGTTGATTTTCTAGCTGAAAGTCTGGCTGCCTGCCTTTCTATTCTCCTTTCTGGGCCAGAAGGCCTTTTGCCAAAACTGAGGGTATGAGACAAAGGCCGCCTCAGCAGAGACAGCTGTGGCTGCTCTGGGGCATGGAGACTGGGCCACAACTGAGATTGCTTGGGCCACAGGTCAATGGGCTTTTGACTGACACTGGCCTGACGTAGGTGTAGGCACTGGGAAGGTCTACAGACTGTCTTATCAGCTCAGCCACACCTTCTGCAGCCCAGGAGGAAGGGATACTTATCAGAAAGAACCAGAGCTTCTGCAAGCATTTCAGTAGAGGCGTTCAGGGCTCAAGAAGGAGACAATGGCAAGGGCTGGCCAATAAAAGAAGGTGCCGGCAGCTTTTCTCCTGACCTCCAGAACCAGAACAGCCTGGGAAAGTCACTTCTGTTAGGAATGACCACTCTTGCAGGGCATGAAGGACCATGCATTTTTCTTCCAAGTCCTTGAGGGGTTTAAATAAGATAAACCAAAGGGGTTTATGAGTGTGACCTGCAAGCAACGGGCATTTGCCGATGCTCATTCTCCATGAAGCACTGCTGTGTACAACCCAAACGCGCTCTGGACTGCCCTGAGTGTGTGACACCGACGCACTGACCCAGAAGTGCTCTGGACCATCCTGAGTGTAACACTGACACACTGACCCACACGCAAGCCCTCTGGCGGACACACAGCTCGGTGGTACAGTGTCTAGCATGCACAAAGCTTTTATTTCCCAGCACAGTATAAACCAGCTTGGTAGCATAAGCCTATAATCCTGGCCCTTTGGAGTTGGAGGCAGGATGATGGAAGTTCAGGCTTATTGTGCTGAAGGACAGCCTGGTCGGAATACATGAGATCATGTTTCAAAACAACCAGAGGAAGCCACATTAGAAGAGGGGCAGGAAGGCTGATCACATCCTCATGAATAGAAGAGGATCTGCAAAGCCCAGAGGGCTGAGTACATCACAAGGACAGCCTAGTGGTTAGCGCAGTGGTTGGCCCAATTCCAGTTCCAGCACTATGGCTCTGTATCTTCTCTGGGTCAGAGTGTTGCAGAGTAGGGGAGAGTGCAACGAACCAAAGAGATAAATCTCAAAGGTGACTGTGACTTTAGGGAGCAGCGGACAACAAACAGTGAAATACCAGGGAGGGGACACACCAAGCCAAGCAAGGAGGGAGTGAGGAGGGGTGCTGGATGTTAGATAAGGAAAACCAGCAAGCCAACTGCATAAGAGTGCACCGTTCTGCCCTGACCCTCCATGTCACAAGTGGCCTCCACTCACTTGGTCTCTGTGATGTAAAAGGACAGGTTTCTTGTGTGGTCTATCTCCCCCTCTGGCACAGTGAAGTCCACGCTGCAGGCAGAGGCTGGCATGCCACTCAGACACTTATTTAATGTCTAGAGCATTTGGAGACCCCAGCTGGCCTCCCAGTGAAGGCAGCCAGGGTGGAGGTGGAGCGGCATGCTTGACTGAGGCCAGGGGCAGGCCCTTCCCCTACGGCTGGCCTCTTAAGGAGTATCTTTTGTTCTAACCTTCTGTCAGGTTTTGATCCTGCTCTGATTCCATCCATCTATCAAACCAGCAGGAGAAATGGGCTTGGTTCCTGGGCTCCGGGAGCCTTGGAGCGGTGTGCGCTCCCATTGATCACAGCAGCTGCTGGGTTGGCATGATGTAGCAGATGCCAGCTAGCACATTATCTCCCATCACATTCACCCTCGGGAAATGACTAATTAACAGCTCATTTCATAGACATGGAAAGGTGATAGAGTTTGATCAAGGTTACACTGACTGAGCAAGCAGAGACGGGGATCCTAGAAACCTGAGAGAGCACTCATCCCTGTAAACACACACCTCTCAAGGCAGAGTGCGGGCTGCCAACAGGGCTGATGTGGCAGAACAAAGTGAGAGGTTGTTCTAGATCATGAAGGCAGATGAGATCCGAGCTCCAGAGAAAACAATGTAAGGGGGTGGGGAGAGGCACACCACTGGTAGTCAGGGAAGGCTTCCTGGAGGAGAGGGAAGCTATGCTATGCCTTGAAGAATCACCAGGAAGCAGCCTGGTATAATCTGAGAATCCTGCCCTGTGCCCAGGTTCAGAGATGAGGCCAGTCTGCCAGGCAGGAGAGGAGAGGGGAGGGGAAGGAAGTCCATGCATGTTTGTGAGAGGCTCCTGAGGTGAGAGAGCAATCCCCTCGGCTACTCACTGAAAAGCTACAAGGGCAGTCAGAGCTCAGAACTGCCTGATTCATGGCGGTGGTCTTCCAGACTCCTCCAGACCTTGTGCCACGACTTGATGCGATCTCGAAATTCCACTTCAGAGACCTACTTGAGATGCGCTGCTCTCTGAATGGAAGCTAGTTTTCACTCTTAGCACTCAGGGAAAGCAATCACAAGGAAACAGGACCGTCAGCCTGCTGCTCTCCCAGCTAGATAAAAAGGGTGGAGCAACGAGGAAAGGGGAGGCGTTAGACACATACACCGGTAGCTCGCGGCTAACGCCGCCTCCTGGGCCCAGTGCCCAGGCCTGAACTGAACTTCAAAAGGGGCCTTGGAAGTTCACATCGAGTTCAGGGCCCTTGCGATCTGCTCGGTAACACTACTGTTCTGGCTTTCGAAACTGGGACCCGGGGGGCTACTCCATGACCTTGGGCCGCGCACCGTACCGCCGCAAGCCTCAGTTTCTCTGGCTGCTAACTGGAAAGAGATGTTTCTCAGACTCTAGGGATCTGAGAACTCGGGGTCTCCAGAGGTGACCCGTTTCGGACAGATGCAATGCAAAAAAAAAAACTGTCCTTGGGGCTGGCCCTGGCACGGCGCTTGGGTCACCTGGAGATCAGTGTCAAGAGTGGGTGTGGGGAGGCTTACCTGGCGGCTGAGGCAGTTTTCGCGGGCCGTGCGCAGCAGCCGGGAGTCCGGCCCCGGACGGGACAAGGCCAAGGCCCAGAGCGGTGGAGCACAGGAGGTGGCGGCTCCCGGAAGACAAGGGGTCCGGGTCCGCAGCCGGGCGCCCACTCTTCCCGCCGGGCTAAGCAGCGCCAGCAGCCCGGCCATGGCGCACCGCGAGCAGCGCTGCGGTGCTGCCCACTGGGGAACCGGACCCAATACCGACCAGTGGGCGGGGCCGGGGCCTGGAGCCCTCCCCACTAGGCCACTCCCCACCCCCTCCAGACCCCGCCCCTGGAGCGGAGCGGAGCGCGGGGTGGGCGGGACTTTACGGAGGAGCGCTGGATTTTGGGCTCCACCCATCAGCTCCTCCCTTCACAGAAGCAACCTATCTCTGGGTGGGCGGGGCCATCCGGCGACGCTTTCTTTTATTTTCCTCCCCCGACCCCGCCTCCCTGGCTAAGGCCCGCCTTTTGAGACGGAGTGGGCGGGGCTGGGGAACCTGCCAAGTCCATCAGCCTGGTTCTCAGGCCAGTTCTTTGTGGAATGCAGTTTTTGCAGGGCTTTCCAGGATTCTTGAGTTTCCGGAATGCAGAGTGTGGCTGGCGGTTGTTCCCAGCCTAGGGCTCAATGCATCCTTTATTTTTCCTTCCAGTAAGAATGGGTGGAACCTGGAAGACTGATGCTTGTATTATCACTTTGAAGAAGAAAGGAACTATAGAAATTAACTCTCACTTGAAGAAGCCCTCTAAGTGAGCTGCTACATTGTTGGTGTGAACATGAAAACAGCCACTGTGGAGAATAGTTTGGTCCTTTCACAGATAGTTGAAAGTACACAAACCAGGTTGCCCAGCGACTCCAATCCCATAGCGTTCCAAGAGAAGGAAATTCTCACATTTCTCTTCCAGACTGAAATGTGACAAGAGCTCACTCTCTCTCACCTGGTGACTGCACTGCCTGGGCACTTGAGCCCACAGGAAAGCTTTGCTGCCATTAGATATGGCCCCTCTACCCTGGACCTCCAGAGCCATGAGCCAAAATTAACCCTTTTGTTTTTATAACCTAAGAAAGGAACAAAACTGTGATCTCAATGTGGTGCTGCATGTCTGCAATTCCAGCACTCAGGAGGCTGAGACAGAAGGGTTAGGAGTTCAAGGCTGGTCTCGACCACGCGAGAACTTGTGGTACAAACATGCGCAAAAGACACCAATATTCACAACAGGACAGTCCAGATGTCAGTTGGGGAAAGGAACGTCAGACTATGGCACAGTTCTGGAGTGGAAGTCACATGTTAGGGGTTAAAGGGACATCCGGTCCCCTCAGCAAGCAAAGCACTTGCTGTACAAGCCATGCCTCTGCGTCCCACCCCGGAACCCCAGAAAAGGGGAAAAGACAGAGCCGCTGTCTCCACAGAGCCGTCCTCTCTGACCTGCACATATGCCCTCACACACACAACAATCATAAAGTTGTTTTTAAAAGGAACAAGTCGACACACATCCATCCCTGGGAGAGTCTCAGGACAGCTGTGCCAAATGAAAACATCCCAGATACAAACACAACATGAGGCAGGAGTTCATTTTCACAGAATGCCAAAACGGGCAAAAGCCTGGACCCCCAAAGAGATCGGTGGCTATCTGGGGCCAAGAGTGGGAGGTGGGCTGGGCTTCAAGGAGCAGGGGACGGCTGGGCACTGAGTGGTCGCTGCAGTACACCAGGCACAGGTCACTTTTATGCAGTGCAATCACACTCCAGTGAAACCATTTCAAAACAGTCCTCGAGGCGGGCACCGTGGCTTAGGCCTTTCACTACAGTATTTGGGGAGCAGAGGCAGGAGGATGGTGAGCTCCAGACCAGTCCCAGACTCGGTCTCATTAACACAAAAACTAAAATGTGTACAGCTAAAGTTCTCAAGATGTGTTAGCTGCATTTCAGCTCCGCCAGGCTCTTACAGTCATGAAGTATACTGGACGCTGGACGTGCGTGCATTCTGTTTACCATCATTTGTAAGTGTATCTGAAGAAGGCAACACGGTCCTGTGTGGACTGCTGGTGGTTAGGGTGTCAAGGTGTAAAGAGTAGTTAAGGGTATAATCCTCAGTCAAACTGGTTCTGCTGCTCCAGCTGTGCAATCTGGAATCAGTGGCTCAACCTCTCTGAAATGCAGTTTTTCACTGGTAAAATGAAGACGCTAATAGTCCTCCTCATAAGACTATTAGGAGAAGTCTTGACACAGACCTTAGAAAGCGCCTTAACCTCGTGCCTGGTGCACAAAGAGAGTGGGCATATTATCTAAGATGCCTCAAGGGTGTCTTGCCCAAGTCTCCTGGGTCAGAGAGGCCTCCTGATAGCACTTCATCTGGAGGACCTCCTCTTTCCCGCAATGCTCTTGTGGCTGGGTCTCCTTCATTCACTCAGGCCTCCTGCTCTGGCTTTGTAGAAACTGAGTTTGTGAGTTTTGCTTTATGGTTCTTGGGTGAGAGAAAAACGCGCTTTAATTTTTCCTTTTAAATTTGACAGAGGATGAGGAGGAATGCTGTGAAATTCGGCCACACCTTAACCATGTGTTCATATTAAGCGGTTAAGACCATGTGTGTGCAGTTGTTACTAATGTACACGTTCAAGTAGAGGTGTGTTCAGAGCACAGCAGATGAAAGTGCCCCTCTTCCCAGCTGTCCCCTATGATTCACCACTGCCCGTAGTAACTCAGACCTACTCGCTCTGTGCCGCGTGGAGGACGTCATCCTTCCATCGTGCGTGCGTTTGATTGGCAACATGGCTTTTCATCGGTCAGAGAACTTTCCAGTACGTAACTGTGTGTGTATTGGAGTACAGCAAGCAGCTGGGAGTCTGAAAATTTAGTCTGAAAATTTCAGAACTCTTCCTGCATCTGAAACAAACGTAAGCAGAATGTGACTAGGAGCTGAGGTTAGAAGGCGTTTAGGTGACTTGAGGTAACCATGTCAGGTAATTTCTCATCTGAGTTACTTTTGGAGGGGCTGACACAGGCCACTGTGATTTCTTGTCCGTGGCTTAAAGACAGCTTGAGCTAGCCTCACATTTACAATCTTTCTTGCGTTGGTTTTCCATGTACTGAGGTTTCAAGCAAGTGCCACCGTGCAGTTTTGATCTGACAACTTCTCTTCTTGCATCTAAACAATATTCTCTGAAGACCTCTCTTCGGCTAACCGTCTGGTGGTTTGGTCTCAGTTGTCCCTCTTGACTGGGATGAGATTTGTCCTAGTTGGTCTGATCTGATCACACACTGGTGGGGAGGGTGTCAATTGACAGATGTTAAGGACTAAGTGCCAGGAAATCCCTTGATAAATAAATAGCTAAAAAGGTACACAGAGACATCTTAGGCTAAGCCCACCTGGGAGCCCATTCTTGAATTTAGTTTTGTCTGCCTTGTGGATGATGTGCCCTCAAGTGTTAAAAGGTACAGGCACTCTGCTTCTATGGGATGTCATCAGACAATAGTTCAAAGTTTCATAAGAATGCAAAACACAGTCACCAAGATCACACATTCTTTAGAGGAGAACCAGGGCTGTGGAGAACAAAAGACTCAGCCCAGTCACTTGTTATGTTCTCTCTCTCTCTTTCCTCCTGTGCTGGGCTCATTAATGCATGTATTCTTCACAGACCCTTATTTTATGCATGAGGAATTGAGGCTTGGGGAGTGCAGCCTTTTGAGTGAGATCTCTCAGCAGGAGAGTCATCTGCAAGGGATTGGGTCCTAGTTCCCTCTGCATCTCTGACAGGGGGCCTGGTGAGACTCCTCAGTGTTATAAATTGCCCTGAGTCAAGGGACCAGTTCTCAGTGCTTTGGGGACTGGCTGTCAAAGACTCCTCCTGGAGAGTTGGGCTGAGACCCTTCCAGGAAGGGCTCCCAGCTGCCTTTCTATCTGGGTCATGTTTCAGCAGACTGATCAGCGAATCACTGCCAACCACTATTAATACCCTGAGACCTCGGCAGGGGAAGTGGCACCAGTGGCTTCTGCTTATTATGCATCAATATTGCAGTTGCGCTGGCTCCTTCTACCTGCATCCCAGAACCAGCTAGGAAGTATGCAAAAGAAGGAAACCCCTAAAACAAGCCAGGTGTGCTGTGGTACACCCTGTAATCCTAATGTTTGGGAAGTTGGGGAGAAGGATCAGAAACTCAAGGTCACTTTCAGCTCCATAGTGAGTTGAGGCCAGTTTGGGCTATGTAGGAACCTGTCTATAAAAAGGAAAAAAAAAGAAGCCTCATGCTTAGGTAAATATGCTGGCACCAAGGAGAAGAGTCACTGTGACAGAATCGTGGTGGCAAAACCAGTTTCAAGTAGGAAAAGATGCAGTGAGCTAAACAGGAGCCCCTGTTTCCCTCGGACCCGGGTGGGGGTACCGACTGGAATGGGGGAGGAGAACAAAACATTCTGTCAATAAGAAAGGAAATAAGCAAGAAACTCAGTTTGCATGGAAAATGAAAGGTCCTGCTTCTAAAATTATTAAAAATACCAAATTATGGGCATTGGCCCAAGGGCAGGGCCTCTCTTAAGGTCAAGGGTCTGTTGTGCTCTGTGTTCAGATTCCATGTATTAGCTTGGTTAGGCAGAGACATGGAGACTGCATTTCACAGATCAGCATCCTGAGAGCTAACGGGCTTACACTGCTTGACCAGCCTCACTGAACTCTCTTTTTCTAAATACAATGTGTACCTCCATGCCAGACAGCAGATTGGGTGCCAACTGTGGGGCTGAGCCTTCCTCTGGGCCACAGTCCCTTACAGGATGACATAGAGGCCCTTGGCTTCCACTGAAGATGAAGAATCTAACTCAGAGTTGAGGGAACATCACTCAGATTGCATGGCTCATAGAACTGCAGTGTAAAGACTGTGGGCTTTGCTGCCAAGAGCTTCGATGAGCCCTGCTTCACCTCGGTGTTCTGGAGGGTGTATGGTACAGACTGGCTGAGACCACAGTCTCAGGTTCGGCTCCCAGCTCTGCTCAGATGGGCTGAACCTACCTCCTTCAGCTAAGTCTTTCAACCTACCACGGTGGGGAGAATCACAGCTATGCCACCAAGCCTTGTATCTTCCATGGTACCATGAGAGCCTGCAGAATTGACCAGTGCACAGAGGGTGGCTGGTGCCTACTTAGCCTTAATTTTGAACTTGCCACAGCCTAGAACCATTTGAGTGGAGAGCCTTGATTGAGGAATTGCTTAGATTTGCTTGGTCTGTGGTTA